CTATCTATCTATCTATCTATCTATCTATCTATCTATCTATCTATCTATCTATCTATCTATCTATCCCTATCTATCCATTAATCCACTTCTCTCTCTATCTATCCATCCATCCAATTTCTGTCCCCTCCTCTCCCCCTCTCTCTTTCTGTATCTATCTTTCTATCTATCTATCCATTCACCCAATCTTTTGGGTATTCTCTCTATCATTTAGCTAATCTTTCTCTCTTTATGGTCACAATTCTGTCTATCTATCTATCTCTCTTGTTTACTGATTTACTGGTAGAAAGAGTTAAAAGGGAACTGGAGAAATTCACACCAAATTTTTGAATTTCTTGCTACTTTGCGTGGCTGGGAACTGCAAGCAGAAAATAATCAATAGCAACAACCAGCAGGAATAAAAACAGATCAAGGCCACCAATCCCCCAGTTCACAATTGGAAGCTTCCAAAACCAACTGACCGGTGACCAGGTGAGACAGAATCCCAGGTATGATGGAATAAACCATGACCAGAAACCCTTCCCCCTTTCGTTTTAATTCTCCAATCAATCAACCTAGCATCTTTCAAGTACCTAGGACTACAACCACCATCATTCAGAGCCGGCCTGCTAGCCTGATATCTGGCTCAGTCCAAAAAGATGCTTGCAGAAGCTGGGCTATAGCCACGGCAGTCCTTGACTTACAACAGTTCATTTAGCGACCCTTCAATGGAAAAAAAGTGATTTTTTTTCCCCACACTCCAACATTTTCATGATCGTGTGATGCAAATTCAGAACGCTTGGCAACTGACTCACATTTATGACGGTCGCAGTGTCGGTGGCCACGTGATCCCCTTTTGTGACCATCTGGCAAAGTTGATGGGGAAGCCAGATTCACTTATAAACCTGTGTTCCTAATTTAACAACTGCAGTGATTCACTTAACAACGGTGGCAAGAAAGGTCGTAGGAGGGGCAAAACTCACAACAAATGTCTCCCTTAGCAACAGAAATGCTGGGCTGATATTGTGGTCATAAGTTGAGGGCTACCTGAATTTATCTGCTTTAAAAAAAAAAAAAAAAAACAACAACTCCCAAATCTTTGATCCGCATTGTAAATTACTTACTGAGAACTTAATTGGGTTCTTTCTTCTTTAGTTAAGCGTTTCTTCCATCCTACTTTTATAAAACATTTATACTCTGCATTTATGAAACATTTATCCCCTGCATAAATATAAAGCCAAAGAACTTTTCCTTTTATAAATACACATTGATTTATTAAATAGATGCAATTTTATTGGCTTAGGCATTTCTTATGTGAATAAAAAGGTGTCATTTTGCCATTTTCCCCGATTAGTTAAGTATTTTTTCACCCTGTTTTTTTATAAAACCAAAGGCTCTTTGCTTTTATAAATGCACATAGATAGATGCAATTTTATTTATTTAAGCCTTTCTTACTGTACAAAAGTAGCATTTTGTATTCTTTCTCTTTAGTTGCTTCTTCACCCTATATTTATAAAACCAAAGACTTTTTGCTTTTATAAATACACAGGGATTTATTAAAAAGATGCACTTTTATTTATTCAAGCATTTCTTATACATGAGTAGGAAGGACATCATCTTGCAATTTTTATCTTTAATTGAGTCTTTTTTATACTGTATTTATATAACCAAAGAACTTTTGCTTTTATAAGTAAGCATAAATGTATTACATAGATGCCGTTTTTATTTGCCGAAGCACTTCTATGAATATAAAAGGCATCTTATCATTTTTCCTTCAGTCAAGCTGTTGTACACACTATACTCATAAAACCAAAGACTTTATGCTTTTATAAATATACACAGATTTATTAAAAAGATTCAACTTTATTTATTGAAGTGCTTCTTACATTGTATCAAAAAGCAACTTCTTGCAATTTAATCCCTTTAGTTGTTTCACCTTACATTTATAAAGCCAAAATGTCCTTTGCTCTAGTAAATATACATAGATGTAATCAATAGATATAATTCTATTTATTTAAGCATTTCTTACACTAATCAGAAAAGGCACCCATCTACAGATCTCAATCTGCACACAGCTTTTCCAACCTCACAAATAACCTTGTGAGACCCGTGAAGAAATTGAGACTCACAAAAAGGAATTTTGTGTCTTAGTGGCACGTTTAAATCCAGATTTCTCCAGGCTGCTTTTGATTTTAATACCACTTTTTAAAAATGATGTACGCTCAGGCTAAAATCGCATACTATTCTCATCTAACCCAAGTTGTTAAGCTATCGGTTTGCCTGCAAAAGCTGAAAAGGCAACACACAAAAAAGAAATTTCTTGCAATCTTTCATCCTAGGGCAATATAACAATTAAAAAATTTTCTCTCTAGGAAGAAAATAACACTCTAGCAAGGCACATTTGTATTGTAATCAAAGGATTATACATGTGACGGAAGAGATGGGAGAGTACTGCATTCCTCAATTTTATAACCCCAAACCAAGCCCCATATTTCCCATCTCGCTGGGAGATGATGGGTACTGTAGTCCATTGCTCGGGGGGGGGGGGGCTGCTGGTTTTGGCAGCTCTGATCTCATCCAGTTAGCTCCTCAATGTATGTATGTATGTATGTATGTATGTATGTATGTATGTATGTATGTATGTATGTAAGCAATTCAGGAAGGAGAAAGAACAAATCAAACATTCTTGAACTGGAAGATCAGGAATATGGAGTTTAGAACTAGCTAGGTTTTGCCAAGCTTAAACCACAAATGTGGGTTTAAGGGCTCTGGAAGGGCATAATGTCATAAATGTGGGCTAAATTGATTCCAATATCGTGATTAATTTAAATTTATTGGCTGCCCAACCCCACTGGACTCCGGGAAGTGTATATTTATTTATTTGGTTTGTTAAACCAATTTAAGTAGCTATCCAACTCACACGTAAGTGAGTCCAGCCTTTTTTTAAAAAATTGAAAATCCACCATATAATAAAAACTCATAAACCTCCCACCACCTCAGGGGGGGTAATCAACAAACAGGACCCCTTTTAGAGGAAGGGGGATTATGTCAATCAAACATTTCCTTGCTCCCCCCCCCATATTTTATAAATGTTTTGAGGCCCAAACTAAAATATTTTTGGCACCTCTCTGAAACTCACCCCCGCCCCAATTCCCCAGACTTGGGGGAATAAAAAAAAGGGGGGTCTGGACCCCAAATTTATCCATAAGCATTTTTTGAGCTGATTTTCAACTCAGAACCAGCCAGGGTTTTTAAGTTCTTCAACCAACTGTGCTGAAAAATGGCCAACTGGCTGAGCACTTGAGCATGTGCAGAGTGCTTTTTTGGAGTATGTGCAAAGTGCTTTTTTTTTTTTTCTTATTCAGCAAAGTTAGCAAATGATGAGGGTCTTAACATGGATGAAAAGGGAGGGGAGATCAGGGATGCCTAATGTCACACACACACAGACACACACACACACACATACACACACGCACGCACATGCACACACACGTATTCTCAGAGCCCAGATGCAACATTAATGCAAAAAGCTAACCTTTATAAGCATGGTGACATATTACAGGTAAGAAGTGCTAGGTACCGAATGCATTCATTCCATCTTAAATGCCTCACTTTTGGGGTTAGTTACAACCCGTGGTATTTTTAATTGTGATTTTTTGAGGGGGAGTGGGGGTGGGGGTTTCTCCACATTTGCCTATTTACAGGTTTTCTTTTGAGGTTGGAAGTTGCCTTGCTGTCATGGGGTGGTTTTTTTGGAGGGTGGTGGTGGCAGGCAAGCCAATTTAAAGAATGGAATGGAATAGAAATAGAATCAGAATGAATGGAATGGAACAGAGAAGAGGGAAGGGAAAGAGGAGAAGAGAAGAAGGGAAGTGAAGAAGGAAGGGAAGGGAAAAGAGAAGGAAGGGGAAAGAAGAGAAGAAGGAAGGGAAGAAAAGATAAGATAAGATAGGAAAGAAGGGAAAATAGAGAAGAGAAGGAAGAGACGAAATGAAGGGAAAGGAAGAGAAGAAAAGAGAAGGAAGGGACAAAAGGAAGAGAATGGAAGGGAAGAGAGAAGAGAAGAAGGAAGAGAAGGGCAGGGAAGGGAAGAGAAGAAAAAAGAAGAGAAGGAAGGGAAGAACAAGGGGAAGAGAATGGAAGAAGAGAAGAAGGAAGGGCAGAGAAAAGAAAAGAAGAGGGAAAGGAAGAGAAGAGAAGAGAGAATGGAATGGAATAGAATTTTTTTATTGGCCAAACGTGACTGGATATATAAGGAATTCATAAGCTCCCGTTGTGCATATAAACAGCAAGTGACACTTAAATATATAAAACAATTTCTTAAAAATAAGTGCATAAGCGAACAACCTTCCCTTGTGGAGACTCCGGAGAGCGAGAACAGGCAGCATAGTCATTTACCGAACGAAATAAATGAAATATATAATACGAAAGATGGGAGTGTGTGTGGGGGGCAAGTTCAGTTCCTAGCCCCCCCATCTTTGCAGAGACTCGTCCCCCCCCCCCAAAAAAAGAAACTCTCACTCACCCCGGGCAGGAAAAAGCCGGAGAAAGCCGCCCAGAGGCAGAGGCGCAGCAGCCGGGAGTCCATCGCGGGCGAAGGAAGGCGAAAGTCTCCTGCAGGGTCTTTGGGAACCGGAATGGTTGCAGTTAGGATGCGAAAGAACGGCGGTCTTGCATCGCGCGTCCCGGGACAGCGTCGGGGGTCGCAACTTGTGAGGGGCGCTTCCAGCTGCCTCTGCTGCTCCTTCCTTCGGCGCTTCCTCCGCCAGCAGCTGGCAAGAGACGCCGCAGTGAAGGAGAAGCAGCGCGGCGGGAAGAGGGCGAGCCCAGGCGTGGGGGCGGGGGCGGAGGCCAATGGGAGGCTGGCAGTGCCAGGGGCGGGCCCCGGGAGGCAGGTGAGGTCCGAGGGAAGGGATCGGGCGGAGGGAAAAGGGAGAGGAAAAGGAGAGAGAGAAGAAAGGGGAAAAAGAAGAAAGGATGGAAGAAGAGAGAGAGAAAGGAAAAAATTGAAGGAGAGAATTGGAAGGAAGGAAGGGAGAGAGGAGGGAAAGGGAGAAGGGAAAGAAAAGAGTGAGAAGGAAGGAAAAGGACGAGAGGAAAGAAGGAAGGAAGGGGAAAGGGAGGAAAGACACAGAGAAAAGGAGAACGAAGAAAGAGAGAAGGGAAAAGACAAGGGAGGGAGGAAGAAAAGAGAGAAAGAAGGAAAGAAGGAAGGGGAAAGAGGGATGAAAGAAAGAGTGGATAGGAGAGCGAAGAAAGAGGGAAGGGAAAAGACAAGGGAGGGAGGAAGAAAAGAGGAAGAAGAAGGAAGGAAGAGGAAAGAGAGGGAGGAAAGAAAGAGAGGAAAGGAGAGCAAAGAAAGAGGGACGGGAAAAGACAAGGGAAAGAGGAAGAAAGAGAAGGAAGGAAGGAAGGACTAGAAGCCTAGGAGAATCCAAGCTGCGATAAGTCTAATTTGTATTTGGGTTTCTGTTTCAGTGGCATCACTTTAGTCTCCGGAGTCGACAAAGCGGGTGGAATCGAGGCCCTCATTAATCTCAAGGGCTTCCCTGGGTGGGCAAGAAATTGGGTCTCAAAGCCCCAGAAAAGTGGAAATGAAACATGGAGATAGCTGCCTTTAGATGGATCTGGTCTGGCATTAACTGGGGGTTTGGCTTGGAAAAAATAAATCACCAACCCTGTAGCCATTGGCAGAAAGGATTTAATTGACTATCTTTCCTGCCTGCCCTCCCTCCCTTCTATCCTTCCCTTCCCCTTTCCCTCACTCCCCCTTTCTTTCTTTCTTTCTTTTCTTCCTTCCTTCCTTCCTTCTACCCATCCCTTTCCCTCGCTCCTTCCCCCTGTCTTCCTTTCCTTCCTTCTTCCTTCCTTCCTTCTATCCATCCCTTTCCCTTGCTCCTTCCATCTTTCTTTCCTTCCTTCTATCCTTCCCCTCGCTTCTTCTCTCCCTCCTTCCCTCTCTTCCTTTCTTCCTTTGCTCACTCCCACTCTTCCTTCCTTCCTTCCTTCTTTCTTTCCTTTCATCCATCCTTTTCCCTTCCCCTTCCCTTTGCTCCCTCCCTCCATCTTTCCTTCCTTCCTTCCTTCCTTCCTTCTATCCTTCCCTTTCTCCTTCCTTCTTTCTTTCTTTCCTTCCCTTCCCCTCACTCCTTCCCTCATTCCCTCTCTCACTTCCTTTCTTCTCTCACTCCCTCTCTCTTTCCTCCCTCCCTCCCCTCTCTATTTTCTTTCTTTCTTTTTCTTTTTTCTTCCTTTCCTTTTTTTCTTCCTTTCCTTTTCTTTTTCTCTCCTCAACCTTGTCTTTCAGGTCCTTTAGTGGCCACTGTTAGTTGAGCCCCTCCATCTTGCTTCTGGTCAAGCTTTTCTTCTGTTTCTCTTCAGTGTTCCCAGGAATTGCATGTTTCTCAAGATAGAGACATCTGTACATTAATCGACTGTTCCTTTATGTGCCTCGAAGTCAAGATCAATTCCCCCGGGTGACCCCCATAGACCAGGGGTCTCCATCTATATACTGGCTGAGGGATTCTGGGAGTTGAGACCCACAAGTCTTAAAAGTTACTAGCAATAGCAATAGCAGTTAGACTTATATGCCGCTTCATAGGGCTTTCAGCCCTCTCTAAGCGGTTTACAG